CTAATTACCGTAATTTGTCGTGAAGGTTCCGCTACGCTGAGAACATGCACGAGTCGTGTCGCCGCGGGAAAGGGAAGCGTTATTGTAGAGGGCAAGACCTCGGTAGCTCGGGTGTCGTGTCGGAGGACGACGGCAGAATTCGCCGGGCAGTTTGTTCGCCGAGCGGCGACAAACTGGAAGAAATAAATCGCCCGGAGAACTGGATTGAAAGTTGGACAAGCGCGTTTCGATGGTTTATGGCGGCAATATCGGCGTAAAACGTTGATCGATACGGTGCCGCGCGTCCGTGCAGCTTCTTCAGGGCTTTATGAGCCAATAAACGCGGGGATTAAAACGTGTCCCGCCCTGGACTGTATCGGCAGAATTTCGCTTTCATCGTTCCTCCAAAGTGACCAACCCAAGGACGCTCGGATACATATTTACGCTGTGGGAGCTATTTTATTGGAATCTTCAGATACTTTCCGCGCGGTGAATAGCCGGGGACACACGAGCGTACCGACAGCAGAGGCTCGCTAAAGGGAAAAGTTTACCGAGCGACTTGCTCACCGTGCAATTTCTAATGGCCGCGAGAAAACACGATGCAACCGGCGATTTTAATCCGGCGACGTGTCGCAGAAGTTCGTTCGTACGCGGCACTCGCTTTTTTTCAAAGAAAATGCCCTTTGTCCTCGCGTTCGCGAACGATTCGCGATTTTCTAGTGAAGCACAATTTCATGACTTCGTCGCTTTCTTGAAAAACAGAGACTGAAGCTGTATTTTCACGCGAACCGTTGCATCTGCATGTAGTTTGTAATTAAACTGATGATTCAGTGAACGAACGCTCGCGATTTAGTGGTAATATTGCGTTGTACGAGTGTTTATTAACAGTAGAATTATCAGATAGATCAAAATGATCCATTTCTAATTTCTTCTTCTGGCGATTATTGAAAAAATAACAGATGTTTCTCTAAGAAATTATTAAAGAAATTGATTTAGCAATACGTAAACTGAATTGTAAATCAGTTGAAGTTCGAATAGATGCACTCTTGGAGTTTTTATGGAAGAATTTCGAAAGGTCCATTTAATGGTTCGGTAGTTTTAGTGTTACTGTGTACATCGGAATATATCGCAGAAAGATTCACTTACGACATCGAATTTCTCGCGAATATTGAAATTAATTTTTCCATTCAAAGGGTTTACCATTGTTAATCACTTTTGTACTCTTCTAAAGTGTCGGCAGAAAGTTACGGAGTCTCTTTCATACTGCTTAGACTGCAACGTCCGCGATTAATCGCATCGCGCAAACGATTCATTCGAGTTAATCAGCAACTCGATCGAATTCCTCGAGTCTGCGTTCAACGTTCAACGAAACTCCGTCCGCGATGGACTTAAATTCACTTACAACGAAGAATATCCGCGAAATCGAACGAACAGTAAAACGCTCAGGAATTTCAAAGCTTCGTTAAATAGGATTCGTTCGGGACGATTAATGGCTCGTCATCCTTTCTGCGCGAGGTAATCCGGCATTAAAACGCGAGATCGCGAGAATCGTCGGAAGACGGGGTTCGGGGTCTTATGAATTTGCAAACATCTGAGAAGATTATTCACTCCAGGCTTATGCAGGGTGCGCGTTCTCCGTTCGTTCCCGAGGGATCGAGTTTACGGATGATTCACTTCGTAGAATTGCGCGCGAACTTTTCATCCGCAATCTGTTTGCGTCTCTGCAAGCGGAACTAGTTTAATCGTTGAGCCACTCATACATCTTTCATTGCGGGGGCGATCGGAAGTTTAACTCTTCACCTTATCATTGCTTCTTTTGCATCTTCGTTAGAACCGATTTATAGTTAATCATTTACTAGAAAGGAAAGAATACTATAATTATTGCATATCTACGTTCGGTAACATAATAAAATTGGGAAATGACAACAGAAATATAATATATAATTTATATTCAAGGTGAACAATATTTAGTTTATCTTCAAACTGAATAGTATTTAGTTTATACTAGCAAAGGAAGTTCTTGTATAAAAGACGTTTTTACATCATAAAGTTTTTACATAAAGAAACCATGTTGCTCTATAAGTCTTACAATTTGAAATACCAATTAAGGAACCCTAAGCTATCTTAATTCTCAATTTCGAAGACTGAAAACCTCTGGTAGCTGAAGTATTAAGAAGATTTTATTCCTTATTTCTTCGTCTCGAAGCGGAAAGATCCGATTGACTCAGGAATTGAGAACACGAACGAAAAAGCGAGCCAACAGCGAAAGGACGAAAACTCGTCGCAAGCGGACGTGGACGCTGAACTTTTTCGCGCAAGCAGACGAGCTCGCGGGAGAATTCGAGGAACGTTCTCCGCGTTCCTCTCGGGTGTTTCAATTTATCGGTGCCGGCGATCGATCGGTTCCTCCTTATTCCCTGGGTGCGTCCAGATTAATCCCGGATTCGCCTGCAACGCCGCTAATATCGGTCGGGAGGAGTCCGGGAAACGACGCCCATGGGCGTCTTTCGGATCCTCCAAGCCGTAGAAAGCGACATTTTCTAATCCTGTCCGAACCGGGCTCGCCCGATTCTCCCATGGATAAATACGCGGAACTCAGTTTCCAACGGATCGATACACCGTGTAACGCACTTTTCCCGTCACGATAAGGTTTACACGTGTGTCACCGTAACGACGCGCCGCGAACGCGTGTCGCACGCTGGAGAAACAAGACTCAGAAGATCGATAGGCCACCGTGATAATTGCCAGGCGACCGTCTGAAAACGGCGTTGATACACGGACTCTTTCGCGTTCTGCTTGTCACCGGTGAAATCTATTTATTTGAATTGTTTGTTTGCTTCTATACAATCAAGTGTTGCTTGTTTATTTTTTAGTTATTTGTTTATTTATTAGAGATTAACACATTCACAACCAGCGTCTCACATTTTATATCTCACGTATAGAAAATTATATTACTTTCACATGTGTTGGTATATAAAATGTTACTGTAAGGTGTGGAATATTGAAGGGTTTCTTGAATTTTATTTGTATTTTATAAAGACGATTTGCTATTTAATAAAATATTGTAACTGTGAGGATTGTTAGTGAAACAGTTGGTCGTGAATGTGTTCATGGGCACCAACCTTTTGTTACAATATGGAATCTTATACAGAGAATTTTTTAGGATTTTTACATTTAATAGATGGTTCGAATAGGTTGAATTGACTTTCGAACATACATCGGATTGATTTACAAGAAGAAATTGATATTTAATTCAATTCCTAGCTCTTTTTACTTTCATTTCCGGGGAAAATATGGTTATTGACATCGTTTGGAACTTTTTCATGGAGGGATAATCTCGTTACGGTTACTGTAAACGAAAGTTAAACAGTATTAGTTGTTTCCATAAGCTTGTTAAATTGAATTAAATGCTTTTTTAATGGGTATATTTTCCGCGATTCGACTTTCTTTTCTAAGATTTGTATATCTTTCCATAGAATTTAGTTTCGTAATTTTTATAAAATTATTTCCGGGATATCGAGATTGAAATCTGTATCAATAAATATCTAAGAACAATCAATTTATGTATCCTCGGGGATCATAGATGATAATAATCAAAATTCATGTCTCTTTTTAAAACCATTCTTAGTCTTGAAACGTTTTCGTTGTCGAATGATTTACAGAACACACGAAAACGTACGATCAAACTGGAATCTAATTTCCGCGAAAATTTCCGGGGTTGTTATTTTAATCGATGTACGAAGAGACTCCGAAAACCGATGAAACGTAGCCGGCTGGCAACGCGACGCGTTTAAGGTAGAAAGCAAACAGACCGCGGGCATTTCACACTTATAGATGCGAGAAAAAAAATTCAACGCCCACGCGACCAGAGTTTAAACGGTCTGACACCGATCGATACGACATTCGACGCGTGCGGTTTGTCGGGCTTTATCAGAAACGCGGATACATCTGTACCGTCAGTGGATCAATTGATTCGTTCCAATTACGACTACCTATAGCGAATTCTCTCCTTTCATCGCAAACGTTTCTAAAAAATATCGGGACGCCTCGCGATGTTCTTTTTCTCAATTTTCGCGGAAATATCCATACGAAGTAAATAAAACAAGCGGGAAGAACGAAACGCTGCAATGAACGAGAGGAACAACTATACATTGGCTGCTGAATCAGCATACGTTAAAATTCCATGTACTGAAAGTAATTTTGTTGACTTCCTATAGTCCAAAGAATTAAAATAGGAACATTTCTCAAAAGCATGCGTACGATAAAAAACAAATTGGAAAAGGAAATTAAGAAATTGGAGAATTTGATTCTGTTTAGATCAGTATTTAACTGTGTTAATGTTAAGTAAATTGGACTTTCAAGTATTAGACGATTTGTTTTGTTGGAACATTTTATAAATCACTTACAATCATTCGGACTATAACAGGGTAATGGAAGGAAAACTAGGAAATTATACATTTTCATATTGATTACTTTATCAACTTTCTAGCATTCCATAGATTCAGAAAAATTTGGTTCTTTCAATATGTCATTGAGAAGATTAATTTATAAATGTGTATGAAAACTTTTGTCACACGAATTTGAGTGATGAGTCAGCCAAAGTGTTAAATGGGACGCTTGAAAACTCCGCGTGAAATATTTCTCAGCTGCATCGGACCGTATGAAACGCAGATAGATAGAAGAGAGAGAAAAGTAAGAAAAAAGAGAGAAAGACTGTCTGTAATATAACACAGACGGTGTATCATCTCCCCCTTTTCATAACCGTTTTCCACGCTCACAAGAGATCTATAACCGAGCACAGGCACCGTAATAGCTGTCGTCCGTTCAGGACTGTCGGACTGACTACGCGCTAGTCAGCCAAGGTTTGCAGGAACTGAAAAAATGTTATATTTTAATGACGAGTACACTGTTGAAATAACGTTCCATCACCTCGTTAACTAGCGAGTCTTTCTTGATTACGAGATAAAAGATGGATTGTATAGTTCTTGCATGAAAATTGTCATTTTTATGTTCTTTATTAGGAACGTACAAATGATGAAAGGAAGGCATCAATTTCGACGACGTTTCAGTCTACAGCCGTCATCGTTCAAGGAGGGCCAGGAGGATGGGCCAACGAAACATGTTAGGTGAGGAAATTTGAATCCTAATCGTCACGTTTGTAGGCAAAAACTTTGTATATTCCTGTTTAAATCCAATTGTTATTTTTTAATTTGTTGGTTCCTTAAGTTGGTACCTTGTATTCAGTTCTTCCCTCAAAGTGTAGTTGCAAATCAATAATTGCATTAGCAGTAAATCAAAACTAACGCGATGCAGGTCAATTTCGTGATTTTAATGCAAATGTTTGAATAAAAAACCAAGCACAATTTATATTGTGGATGGTTAATGTCAAGATATTGCGTTCTGATTAATCGTGTATCCAGCGTATTACCAACGGAGACAATGACTCACGTCTCTCCTCCACTTTGAAATGCAGTATCCTGTAATTGGATCATTGCCAGGGAGCTAAGTAATACAATTTGGGCAAGTACGTGCCCAAATCGTATCAATAACGTAACGCGATAGATCATGGAAGGTCTAAACAGCAGCACTCAGTTAGCCACAGTAGTAGCTAAAAAGCACTTACATCAATGAGAAATATACTTAAAAAACAATACGAATATAATAACAGCACAAACAATATTATTTAACACATTGATAGCAGAAAAAATCAATTCAGAAAAAAAAGTTCTTTACAATAACAATATATATTTTTATACCAAAAATAATCAGTTAAATTACTTGAATAGCACCTAAAAATCTTCAAGCAGACGTATAAAGTACAGAATTAATTTAAATTCAATATTTCACTTTATTTTCCAACGATTAAAACCATTAACAAACAATCAAAAATTCTATTTTTATTATGGGTATTTGGGTTATATGGGTATTTTCGTACCCATTTGTTCTAGGAAAGTTAACAAACACTCCCAGCAGCCCGATTGTTTTCAACCTAATTTGTCTCGACAATGTCGTCAACTCTTTGAACGTCCGCGTTGTTATAGTAGAATATTAGTCCAGCAGGAATTTCATTAGAAAATAATTCGAGCGGTGGTGGGCGAGAAAATAGCGTCGTCGAAACAGTGAAATGCCACTGAAACGAGCAAAGGCTACTCGAAAACACATTCAAGCCTTCAACCACTTACTCTTACGGCCGTGCGCGCGCGCCAGTTCCCTCGGGCCTCCTTGGGACGCCTCTTCCTTTCGGACGGCCTCTTCATCTCTGGCCTCTCCTCTTGACTCGCTCTTAGGGGTGGGCCGAGCTTTAATTTTGCGACTAGACTTTTCGCAAAAAGGGAAGCAGCAAGCCACCGGACTTCTCTTCCCTTTGTACGGGGGTACGGTAATAACCGCGGCCGGCTCCTTCCTGTAATAAGCGTGGATGATTACGGAGACGAAGATACTTAGGGAGCAGTTGTTATCTGGTGCATGCGAAAGCACCGCAGAATAGCGTATATAGAAAACGGGACGACGGTAACGGTTCCCTCGAATTCAGGACAGGCACAAAACCCGCTTGCTCAATAACTCGCGATGCCGGTGAAAGGGGATCTTTAACGTTCATTAGCGCTATTCTCTTGGATAGGAGCCGTTGTACCCTTAAACTCGTGATGCTTCTACAGCGACTTTGTATATCTGTGCACCCGCGAAACGTCCAATCTAAAAATTGTTACGCGATTCTTGTTTGTTTGTTTCTATTATTCCTGGCTTTAATATTCTCCTTCGAGTCACTTTCTTTGTCCTTTGACTGCAAAAAACACAAATACTTTTGCAGATTTACTAATTTCGTAACATTGAAACCAAGATTTTCTGTGTAATCTGGTTAAACGAATATGATCATGCCTCATGAAGAATTACCTACATCTTTCTTTTAATCACGCAAGATCTAACATTCGGAGTCAGCCGAAAGAACAACATAACGAAATTTTGTTCCCTTAGACGTCTGTAATTTCTGCTCGCCACGGTTTGATCCCTTATCATCAGCTCGATGAAAAAGCTCGGCGCCTATTTGCGCCCGAAATAGAATTGGACAAGGATCGATGGTATCGTTTCAGGAACGAGAGGCTGTCGGAATCGGACAGCGGCGGCGGAAAACAGGAGAGCAACATAAGGCACAAGATCGTGGTGATGGGGGCCGCGAAGGTCGGCAAGTCGGCGATCATCAATCAGTTCCTTTACAACACGTTCTCGCCGAAGTACAAGCGAACGGTGGAGGAGATGCATCACGGAGACTTCAATGTTTCTGGGGTGCACCTGACCCTGGACATCCTGGACACGTCCGGCTCGTACGAGTTTCCGGCGATGAGAGACCTGTCCATCAAGTCAGCGGATGCTTTTATCCTCGTCTACGACGTGAACGACGCGAACACGTTCCTTGAGGTGGAGACGCTCAAGGCGCAGATCTATAGCACGAAGGGAGCGGTGCCGATCGTCGTCGTCGGCAACAAAGTTGATCTTGTCGAGTCGAAAGAAGAGGTATATTCTCCATTCTGTGAGCCTTTTGTAATTTATGTTTGACTAGTAGTAGCAACTAGTTTGCAAAATATTATGTATAATTATTTATTAAAACTGCGAGTATCTTGAGATTCCAGTTAGACAGTCCAAAAGGTCTTCCAAAGTTTTCCAAATAATTGTTATGCTTCGAAAAATTGGCTACGATCAGAATAACTTTTGTTCACCTACTTTCAAGGAATATCCTGTTTTTTCGATTCACATGAAGATAGATCGAGGTATTTCTGGCGTCGCTCCAAAATCCTTTATCACGCAAACCACTACATCTCTGGCATTCCAATATATTTATCAAGGAAATGACTTCTGCATTGAAAGTCTGAACTGTCTAAACTCTAAGCCGTCAAATTCATAGATCCTGCTAATGAACCCCGCAATAAAAGAAACGAAATTCCATTCCAGCTCAGTAGTCTAAACCAATAACAACAAATATACCACAATTTCAGGTGGACATAGAGAGTACAAGGGAGCTGGTCACGCTGAAATGGGAGAACGGTTTCGTGGAGGTATCCGCGAAGGAAAACGTGAACATCTCGCAAGTATTCAAGGAGTTGCTGATCCAGGCGAAGCTAAAGTACAACCTGAGCCCGGCGTTACGGCGACGACGCCGTCAATCGTTGCCGCCGCCGCAGCATTTAAATTCCCGCAGCAGCAGTGCTCACGTGCCGTCGCCGGCGCAGCTGCAACATCTGCAGCAGATCCGCGAGCGGTCCGAGTCCAAGAGGAATTCCTGCATTCTCTCGTAAGGGGATTTCGGCCGTGAGCGTTCCGTTTGCTCCCCGCCGCGGGACGAACGCGAGACGTCGGAGTTAGGACTAGGAGTGGCTAGGGGTGTAGGGTGAGCGGAAGAAAACTATGCTCGGGCGTCGATTCGAACACGACCAGAGTGATTCCATTCGCTCGGATCGATCGACATTTCCCCATTCACCGTTCCCATCGAGAGTGTGCATGCGATCGATCCTTGAATGACCCCGCGGAGGAATTAGACGAACAGAGGAGCGATGCCCGCGGGGCGGAAAGACAGACTTTCCCCGAAGAAAATGCCGGTAATCCCTTCTTCCTTCGAATATCGAGAAACGAACCTCAAGCGTTTCGAACGTGGGGTATATAGGGAACCTCCAGCGATTCCAATTTCTCAGTAAACTTTTACTCCAGGGGAACGGTCTCTATTCGATCCCGAAGAACTTTGAAAAATTTGAACGATTAGGGGGAAAGTTCGTGGCGTGCACGCCGGGAAAGTATTCATCCGGCAAGGAATAGCCGTGGGGGAACGGTCCGCGAGGACCAACTTTCACGATAACCGAACGATCGAAGATAAATGTTCGCTGTTCGATAAAATTCGATGTATTTAGCGCAAGTCTACGTACTCAGTGTACCTTCTATTTTGCCCTCGATTGTTAGGTATCCTCTATCGAAATTCGTCGATATTCGAGCAGTTACGTAACCCGATTGGAGAGACAATCGTGGGAAGATTAAGTTGATCATAACTGATCTTCTCATTGTGAAATTCTTTTTCCTTTCCACCATCCCCAGAATCGATTTCAAGTCTTCTCGCGAAGATCTACGTTGTTCGTTTAGAGCCGCGAGCGTTTGATTCGCGAAATTTGCCCCGGATTTTAACGTAATTATTCCGAATTATGACACCGTATAGTATCCAGTCTTTACGGATTTATCGAAGTATCCTATATTAATATCCAATTTCAGGGTTTCTCTCCCACTGCCCAGTTCGCTGTCTTATTACCGGACCGCGGGTATTTATACGAATTCATCGATGAATACTTTATAGAATGGAAGATTAGACCATGTTTCGGTTCTCATATTTGAATTTTTATTGTGTTCTTGATAACATATACACTGTACGTTCGGCAACGGGTTGTAGAAAGTTTAGAGGATGATTCTCTATGAAAGTATAAAACAAAAAGAAAAAGTAAAATAATTTCGGGTTCAGCTTCCTTTCCGAGTCATTAATAATTATAAGCAAGAATATCACGCAAACCAGGTGCCCCATGCAGTACGTCAATGTCTGCGCTTGCACTGTCCTATCCCATGGGCGTCGTTGTTACGCTAGGCCATGGCTCGGAGATCATTAATAATTTAATTATTAATCTCTAATAATACGAAAACGAAGCCGAAATTGTAATTTTTTCATTCTTGATTTTCGTCTTGTGTTGTCATGAAGAATCATCTCTTAAATTTTCTCTCGTCTGTTGAGCGAATACCTTATGTATAATGTTACAGTAATATTTCATTTGAATGAGTTCTTCAGATTAATATGCATAAAGATCCGCGGTCTATTTATTACGTATTATGAAGCAACCGGCGCAACGTCCACGAAGCACATTTTACAAAATATTATTGACCAGTCGATTGAATTTTCAACCGTCAGCGCTGTCCTCTACACCGCGTCGCGTGATTTATTTAAAAGAGTAATCTCGGCCACTTCGGTTCGACGTTTACCATTTTTAAGCGCATCGCACCGAGCAATTCGAAATTCGTTAAAGATAAACATAATCTATCGCCGATGAATCAGTGGCACTCTCCATCTGTCTCCCTCTATCAATCTTCTTTACATGGAATATCGAATTATTTGTCAATTATGGTATACGTAAAAATTATTGTACACAATTGCCTTGCCCGAGCCTGAGTTTTACTTGTAAGTACAATAAAGTTTCAGGCGGGAACGCCTGCGAACATCAGGTACAAACTCTGTTCGATCGCGGATTAGCTTTTTAAAATATAGCGTCGTAATGCAATATGCGCTGCACACGCTAAATAAAATAAAAAAGACAAACACCACATAGCGTCTACTTTTGAACGTTTCCGTCGAAGACCAGGGAGAAAACTGTCTCTACGAGTGAACTTCGATGAACCATGGTGCAACGATCATTGATTTTAAGATTTAGACGCGAGCAATTTTCTTACTTTTTCCGTTCTGTCGGACGACATTGTAATTATATCGTTTTGAAGGAGTATCATCTTTGTATTACGATATACATATTATACATACATAAATAAATATATATATACTTCGTTATAAATATAAATATAGATATAAAACTTCGTTAGCGTACATATAGAGAGTCTATGTAAATAAAACAAAATATTGTGATGTGGATATCTCGTCGAATCAAAGCCCACATTGGGCTATAATTTTACATAAATAGACAAGATTAAACGGGCGCGGGCGGTTCGTCCGTGATCTAATACGTTTAATGAATCATGAAATATCGCGCATCACGATAAAAGACATAAAGTCTATTTGAATGTGAACCGCGTACGAGTCAAATCGCTTTCCAGAGACATCTATGTAAAGCGTAACTTTTGCTGAGAAACATCTATTTACCTGAACTTGCAACCCCAATTAATTCATGTTACCTAGATTTAATGTTGTCTAGTTCGAAAAAGATGATGATTAAAAATATGAACGACTTAACGAGCGAATAGTCGAAGGTCATGGATCCGATGGTTTCCCGCGACACGACTGTGACTATTTCTAGCGTAGTTCTGGACGAAATAATGTGGTAACAGAACATTAGTAGCAAATAAGCTCTTAACTTTGTATCATTGCGTTATCGGGAATTAAATAAAAGATGGATGTCATTATTTAACTTCCACAGGCACTGGTTCTTTCTTTCTCCCATTGTTCTATATTATTTTATTTTATTTTTATTTTCAATCAATTATTGTTAATCAATATCAATTAATGAGTTTTACCGATCATAGAAGATTATCATGAATTAATTGATACAACTACTAATCTTTACTTCATGCAATATTTAATCCTTTGCACCTGGTTGCATTTCGAGCATTTGTTTTTGAAGGTATTATACCATGAAACGTTCGTGGCGTACTAAAATTCATTCAATAAAGTGAAATTTAACATTTTTCAATCATAATAAATGAACAATCTTAAATCGGATTTAACAAAATGTATCGAATTGTTGCAGTCAAATGTATAAATTGTTATGAGTCAAAAAAATTAAATATAAAATAAATTTTAATGAAGATTTATTTCAGTAAATTAATTACCGTTTTACGTTCCCTTTAATAATACAATTCATTCAATAGTTTATTAACGTAATTTTATATATCGTTTGCTAATAATTTAAAATACGCGCATAGCCTCTGTATTTACAGAGATTTACCCACTGCTGATCATTCTCGGTAGAGTCCGCCACTGTTTGGTCAAGTTATCAATGACTGTTCATAACGCAGTTCCTACTACCAACAGTGAGTGCAAAGGCGCACAATTCTAAAGATTGTAGGAACGTAACCTCGCTAGTGAAAATGTGCCGGTTGAATTTCCGTATTAAGGTAGACTTGTGTAAATTTTATAACGATGTGCGTCGATTTTGTTGGATTTTTGTCGACGGTTCGAGAACACTGCGAATCTCCCACGCGATGGAGCACATTTCAAAGTTATTTAACATTAAAGAGCCGTTTCATTTGGTCTTGAATCAAACTGAATACCTGCCACCTAATGAGGATATTCGAGTTCTCAAAGAAAATGAAACGATACTGTAAAGATCTCAGCTTATTCTGTTAATAATTCAAGCATACAGATAGGAAAGCGTAATAATCTTTTGATTGAACTCTTACAGTGTATGTCCAGGAACAGGCCTTGAATGTGGAACAGAGACATCTGAGGTAGTAAACAATTCAGTGGCACAATCAGAAGTTCAGAACATCTTTGCAAAGACAGAGGTATTTAATCATTCAGTTTTACACAAGGAGTCGCAGACTAATTTTTATCCAAATGACTCAGATTCAATTTTAATTCAAAAGAGTGAATTGAACGAAGCTGTAAATAGGTCTCAAACCGGTGAGATAGTGGTATTAAAATATTAAGTTTTCTTCAAACTAAAGAATATTAACAGTGGAAATATCTATACAGATGTTTTAGAAACTAGTATGGTATGTGAGAGGATGGAAGATGAACAAAGTAGTACAACCAATTCAAAAGTAGATGGAAGCGTGTTTACAGATTTTAATGTAGATAGCAGTTTACGCCCGAAGAGAAAAAGAACAAGAAGTCGAAAGAAAAAGGCACAGGAGATTAAGGAACCAGTGAAAATTGAAATCAAAGCTGCAAAGCCCAAAATAATTGATTCTTTTATCATTTCTACTAACAAGCACATAAGGTTTGATAGTATAGAATCCCCGGAAATGGTAGCAAAGCAAATTACTCCTAACAAAAAGATGAATGGCTCTTACACTAATGAAGCAACACCTTCTCATAAGCTTGCTAATTTATTATCACTGGGTCAAAATTCTACACCAATTACTTTCACAAACTCGCAGGTGAAGGAGGAGATAAAAATTGAACATGTGTCTGATGAAGATACTCGACCTAATATTTCTTTTGAGACTAATAGCGAGAGTAAAAATTTCGTCAAGGCGTTGCAAGAAGGAAAAGAGTTAACAAGTAAAGATCTTGAAACTTGTCCACCTCTCATAACTAAACCTGAACTGAAAAGTATCCTAGCTTTTAAAGTAAGCATTTTAGGAGTTAAAATATATGATAAATATTGTATATTTATATAAATTGGATTTGCAGATGCTTAAAATTGGTGCAGATTATACACCACAGGTATCAGAATTTATTGTAGCTGAAGTGATATCTTATTGCCCAGCAAGTTTGTTGTACACCTTCAAAATCATGCGTAAGTAATTTTACATTCATTATATACAATAATAAATTTGATGTGATTAAGTAAACAATTTGTTAACAGAGGGTATATTAGAAGTTCAAGTACCAGTTGGCAAGTTTACTCTCATAGAAGATGATGAAGAACAAACACTAAATGATACTATTACAATAAATATTGCACAATTAATAGAGCCACGAATCGTGTCAATGACTGACCCAAATGGAGCATCAACTCCAGTTAATAATTGTTCTACTATAATAGATCATGTTAACAATTGATATGTATAAACTCTTGTGATATTTTTTCATATTTTACATATGTTAATAAATGTGCACATTTAAAATAAAATACATTTTCATATCATTAGAATGTATCGTTATTTTAAAATGAGTGAAACTTACCTAGTTGAAGCTTTACACTGCCCACAATCATAATAAGAAAACATAGGTACGAAACTATTTCCGAATAAGATTTAACTACCTTAACCGATAATAGCACCAACTGATTAATAGCACTTTCGTTAGAACAAAGTTTACACATTAAGAAACACGAAAATTGCTGTTATACTACACTAATTTGTTGCACTAACGCGAATTGTTATACATCGTTTGAAAAGTAACGTACATCTGCGCAATGAACAAAATTCAATTGCGCACCGTCTCGAAGATGCATTCTGATTGGCCGAACTTGATTTAAATTGGCCAATGAAATTCGATTATTTAAAACTGCTAATCTGTAGCGTACGAAAAATCAGGCGGAATTTATGAATACCTCATATCATTAATTAAAATACCTGAATAGTCCTCCAGCGAAAAAACATCAGAATACAATTTTATACACGTAATTGAATAAAACATTTTATTCTCTTACATAAGTATCATGAAATAAGGTTATTAAACATTACCACTTTTCTACAAATGAGAATTGTGATTATTTTGCTACGTAACTAGCGTTTACCATAATTATAACGAATATTATTAATAATTCTCTGCAGTTCTACTCTGTTAAATATAAAACTCCTTTGCACACATGGCTCTCGATGCTAAGAACGAAAGAAGCCAGAAGGGGAGTTATAAAAGTAAAAAGGGGGCTTTGTCTTCCAAGCCCGAGCTTCTGGAACTTCTGAAATTAAGACCAGCAGAGCTGCACCTTTATAATGCACTCATATACCATGGACTTAATGACCTTTTTCTCTCTTTTAATTTCATTTCTTTTGTGCCAGTACTCGTTGGACATTTAAAGCACGCATTTCCGTGCGAAAAGAGCAAACCGAAAGTTCCATCCAACGGAACATTAATGATAAAATCCATCGCACCGTTGCAACGGTTCGTTGTAAAATGTTTCACCGTTCAATTACCCTTTTCAATAGAATGTCGGGTGCGGAACGTGGAACAGCGGCGTAACTCGAAGCCTTGTTACGAACTTCGTTACAAGTTCCCTCGATGAATGCATTTTTTGTTCGACAACCGCAGCTAACAGGACCGCGGCGAATACAAAGAATACAGTTTTACGCAGTATCTCGTTTTTTAAAAGAGGTGAAAAGAAACAGTGAAGGTTCCACCATATACTGGTTGCTTCATAAGACCATTTTGCGTGTATCGGGTCAAAGATAACGGTTTAGTAATGAACACGGAATCGCGCTGTACAGACACGAAGAATTGAATTCGTTTGCTCGTTTCACGCCAATTATTTTTGTGGACGCGTCTAACAGCGAACGTAAACGTTGTTAAGTCGCACAATACGTGAAGGTTTTGTGCAATCCCGATTCTAGCAAAGCGCAGCATGAACGTGCGGTTTGCTTCTGCGAGAGTATGTCCATTAAACATAGAGT